TTTTTTTTTGTTTTCTTCATTCTTTCTTTTTATGGCACTTACCCTTCTTTTCAGCTTTTTGTGATAACATTTAACCGCTTTACTTGGTTGGGTGGGCAAAGACAGAAGGTTTAATAAAATTAATGGGGAAATTTCTGAGTTTGCTTGAGGTTATCGCCTGTGTTTATTTACGAATAAAATATTTTGAAGTTAAGCTTGATTTGGAGTTAATTAGTCTGAGTTGATCGTAAGCCTGCATTGAAAAAAGTCTAATTTTTCAGACTCCTGGAGAAAAGGCGACGATTCTCTTTGGACGACATGACGATGAATCGTTCGTCGGTTGCGTTGGCGATGTATCTTACAATGGCGAACTACTCGATTTTGCTAAGGTAATGTCTTATCCGCTAATTTATATGTACAATAAAGTTACCTATTGAGGAGTTTAGGCAAAAATTCATGAAGTTTCATTGACTGGATGTTCGTTGGCAGCTGATGTGATTAAAACAACAGTAACACCAGCGGAAACGACTGCCACAGCTCAGGTAGATTACCTTGGGTTATGAAAACAATTGGAGATGAGGGTAATTTTCATCATTCTTCCAGGCACCACTTGGTCTTCCAGTGAGTGAAGGAGTTACAAAAACAACAACAACAACACCAGCAACAACAACAACAACAACAACAACTACTACTACTACCACAACCACTACACCAGCTCCTACCCCAACGGAAGTTGAGGTAAGTTATGCACCATTTTTATTCTAGAAATTTTCAGAATGGTAGATAATCGGCTTTTAGCCAGAAACTACAAGTACGTTACCCACCACTATGTCTTCGTCAACTACCACAAGTACTAGCACTACTACTAGTACCACTACTAGTACTACTACTAGTACATCTACTCCTACCAAACCTACTACAACTACCAGCACAACAACCACAACAGCTCGTCCAATTGTGCGACCTAAAGTAGTGGCAAAACCCGTATTACCTAAAAAGTCGAAAAATCTCACAAAAATTGCCGAGATGAAGATGAGAACGACGGCAATTTTGACGACATCTCCTCCATTAAAATCAATAGAAATCCCGATGGAACTGGACTCTACTCCAGAAGGGGCTATGAAGATTTTGGAGCCAACAATAGTTCCTCAAGGCAAAGGCATCGTGAGTGGAGTGAAAATAGTTCAACGCATGGCTTGCTTCTCTGTGCCAAAGCGAAAAGCATAGTTTAACCCATGAAAAACCAACATCTGAATTGTTCAAATCTTAACGCTGTTCCGTTGGGAACTCAAAAGTAAAGTACCAATTTGAATGTCGGGATAGAGTAAACAGCAATGTTTATTCTATCCCGACATTCAATGACTAGCCTAACGCAAAATACTTAGTAATCTTCACTATACCAAAGTTTTATCCTCTCTGAATTCTTTTGTGTGAGAAAAAATACTGGGCGATTGGGCACAACTGACCAGTGATGGGGGACAGTTATAGTAAAGCGATCTCCCACACCTCCGCCCCCTCAGATATCACTGCTATGGTTGGGTTAGGACTACGCTTTCATAAGTTGGTGTCCCTCTCCTCGGTTAACCTGTCCAGCTTCTAATTCGCTTAGTGTGATTTCTCCGCTTCCACCAACTAGCAGCATTCCCTAATGGCTAATAAGACTGCTCTTTCCCTATTCTTAAACCTTTCCTAACATAACTTTCTCAATTCTTGTTCCTTCAGCCAATCCCTGAGGGTGCATGTGCTTTGCGTCTGGAACCGCTAGAGTATACCGATGAAGAGGATGGAAATCGTTTCGGCCTGCAACCTAATAGTCGTATGGAGTATGACATAGTGCCCGATTCGTTTGATAAGAGGTACGGTAGTTTTCGCTCCATTTTATACATTCAAGCAACCCCTCTGCAATTTAGTGGAACATTCTCACTCCAACTTCGCGCTACTGCCTCAAATGGTGTGATCTTGTTCGCTACGAATGATAAGCACACTGATCATATTGGACTGTTCTTGCTCAATGGACGAGTTATTTTCTCATTTGATACGGGAACTGGACAGGTATGCGCACGCTTCAGCCTATCTACAGTATATTCAACGGTATTCATAATTTTTTCAGACCGTTATACGTTCAAACCGCTCGATCCTTACCGGGGAATGGCACATTGTGAAGGCTAGTCGTCGCGGAAATGAGGGCACTCTCATCGTGGATGACGATTCATCGGAAACAACGGGAGTTGTGTCAGCCAGTACGGATGCTATCGATACCCAGCCACCATTGTACTTAGGAGGTATCCCGAATGAACTAACCAGCTACGCTCGGACTATCCTACCGGTAGGTATCTGCACACCTTTTGGCTCTCTAGATTGAATGACCATGATATTGTATTTAGGGTGTACGATCCGAATTTGGCGGTTGCATTAGGGAACTGAAGTTGAACGATAAGAAGTTCGACACCATTGCGCGAGAACATGGAGTTGGTGAATGCAAGAAACACACAGAAAGTGGTCTTTACTTCGGAAAGGAGGGTGGCTATGCAATTTTGAAGAAGGAATTCCAGGTTATTAATAGGTTTTGTGGATTTGGGCAATAATTTACAAATCGATTTCTTTTGAAGGTCGGCCAATCCTTCTCAGCCGAAATGGAAGTGCGTCCACGTACGCAGAACGGCGTTCTATTTTCTGTAGGTGCAGTAGAGTATCTGACAGTGCAGTTTTTGAATGGATCAGTGAAGGTATAATTGTTTGAATCTTTGTACCCTTGTCTTTTCGAAGGTTCTACAAAATTAAACGTCTTAGTTCACCGTGGACAGTGGATCAGGACCAGAATCTCTGGTCTACAAACCGGCTGCTCCAAATGTTCTGTGCGATGGTCATTGGCATTCAATTAAGGTAACTAGCTATAGCCTTTTTTTT